CCATCCCTGGCAGTGTTCAAGGCCAGGTTGGACACAGGGGCTTGGAGCAAGCTGCTCCAGTGGAAGGTGTTGGGGTTGGGGCTGGATGGGCTTTAAGGTCCCTGCCAACCCAAACCAGGCTGGGATTCTATATCCTCCAGGAAGAAACGATGCTCCTCTTTTTGCAATGAAGGCAAATTCCCATTCCCCTCTCTTTACAGGGTTCAGTGGGATCCAGCTTGGAAAAGGGAAAATCACCACCTCCAGGAGCCATGTGATTTGCAGACGCTCCTCATTGCCTTTTTATTATTGGATTAGCATGGAATCACAGCATGGTTTGGGTTGAAGGGGCCTTAAAGCTCATCCAGCTCCAGCCCCCTGCCACTGGCAGGGACACCTTCCACTAGAGCAGCTTGCTCTAATCCCCATGGTTATTTCTTATGACTATGGATTATCACAGGAGAAAAGGCTGTAAACTCTGTCACAAGGCTAAATGTTAATGATCAGAATCACATTTTTAAGCTAATTTTGATGGTTTTGAGAGAAAAAGGCGTGAGATGATGATTCCAGACTCCTTACGATGGTAGAGCTGGGCTGGTTATCCCTATGATCACCAGCACACACCTGCCTAAGCAGCAACACGGATCCACCTTCTCCCTATAGGACGTGACAGAAAGGATGCTCTGGGTGGAGAAGCTGTTTCCTCACTTGCAGGACTCACGCCCTGGATTACAGCGGCCCCAAATCCCTGTCACGTTTTCACGTGTGCTTGTTGGGCCTTTGGGGAGCCTTCCTCCGCTTCTTGTGCCCGCTGGGCTGCTTTGGAGGCCGGGAGAGGGCTGGAAACAGAGCCAGGCAATCCCGGCCGAGCCGAGGTGTGAAATTTCTCATGGGCAAACAAGTGAGAGCTGCGGGGAGCCCAGGAGAAGGGGACGGAAAAGATGAAGGGAGGGAAAGAGGAGGAGGAGGAGGGGGGGGAAGAGAGAAAGCAGCAGCCAAAGAGAAAACACAAACGCCCAAAGCAGAACCCGGTTTGAAGAGCAAGGGGGGGGGGGGTGTTTTCTATGAGGGGATTGTAAAATGCGGCTCTCTCTTTCCCCTTTGCAGGGGGGAAGAAGGGCCCCCACTCGATCTGATAGTCATTAGCATCAATTAGCCCCGTTTGAAGTAGGCAACATCTTTGTCTCTTGGCCAAAAAAAGAAATCAAAACCCCTTTTCAGGGAGCCCATAATAACATCTGGAGCGAGGAGAGGCTGAACTCCAGTTCCCCACTTTCATCTCTTGTCGAGGTACTTGGAATGTTAATGCAGCCTCATTCTTTAATGGAGTTATCAGGAAATGCTTTTCACCTCCTTCCCTTTGCTCAGGGGGGATGTTTACAAAGGGCTGGGGGCTTGGTTTGGGGTTGGGATTTGGGTTTACCCTCCCCTAAAGGACTCCCCCTCCCCTTTCATGTTCTCCCCTCTTGAGAAACAACACTGGGATCATATAAAATAACGAAGAAATAAAAGCAACCCCTCGAACGCAAGCCCGCAGCGCTAAAAAGAAGAGGATCAGAGCCCATGCTTTCATCTCCTGCAGCAAAGTCCTGCTCTCCTGGGAGCGGGTGGGATGGGGATGGAGGGGAGGGGGATCCCTGCTCTGCCTGGCTGCTGGGTGCTACATTTCCCAAGTCATTACCAGTGAGTGAAAATTTCCAGCTTTCAAGCCCAAAAAGCATTAGCTGAGCACACAGTACTAATGGGACACAGGGCGCGTCATTAGGAGGAGAATTTGGCCAAGTGGGACAAGCCAAAGGGATTTTGCTGCTTGTCTGTCCCTCTGGCTCGCTGTCCATCCATCCACTGAATCATAGGATCCCAGCCTGGTTTGCGTTGGAAGGGACCTTAAAGCTCCTCCAGTTCCAACCCCTGCCACAGGCAGGGACCCCTTCCACTGGAGCAGCTTGCTCCAAGCCCCTGTGTCTAACCTGGCCTTGAGCACTGCCAGGGATGGGGCAGCCACAGCTTCTCTGGGCACCCTGTGCCAGCGCCTCAGCACCCTCACAGGGAAGAGCTTCTGCCTAAGAGCTCAGCTCAGTCTCCCCTCGGGCAGGTTCAAGCCATTCCCCTTGGCCTGTCCCTACAGGCCCTTGTCCCAAGCCCCTCTCCAGCTTTCCTGCAGCCCCTTTAGGCACTGGAGCTGCTCTAAGGTCTCCCCTTCAGGAGCCTTCTCTTCTCCAGGCTGCCCCAGCCCAGCTCTCTCAGCCTGGCTCCAGAGCAGAGCTGCTCCAGCCCTCGCAGCATCTCCATGGCCTCCTCTGGCCTCGCTCCAACAGCTCCACGTCCCTCTTGTGCTGCTGCCCCAGAGCTGGATCAGGGCTGCAGGGGGGGTCTCCCCAGAGCACAGCAGAGGGGCAGGATCCCCTCCCTGAGCTGCTGCTCATGCTCTGGGGGTGCACCCAGCACACGGGGGGGTTCTGGGCTCAAGTGCTCACTGAAGCTGGGTCATGGGGAGCTTCTCCTCACCCAGCACCCCCAAGTGCTGCTCCTTAGGGCTGCTCCATCCACCCATCCATCCCTGCTGCAGACAGCACCTCGCTCTATCATGCTCCTCTGCTCTCAGCTTGCCCATCCCAATATTTGCCATGGAAAACTACTCCAGATCATTTCCAACACCTCATCCCATGGGAACTACGGCAGCAGCCATCACTTGCTATGAAGAGGAAAAGAGATTTAACAGGCTTTTAATCAAACAAATCAAACCCGTGTCTAACGACCCCCTTTACTTCAATCCACAGCACCTCTGTGCAAGCAAAGCCAGAAGCTGTGAATCCCTGTGGATTTTTTCTTCTCCATGGTGGCTTTTTTTGGGAAGGGGCTTCGGCACTTGCCCAGCTTTGAACGTGTGATTTCAATTAAGCACTGAGTTACCCAGGGCTGGGGCTGCCTGTTTGGATAAGGAGCAATAAACCCCCAGCTGTATTTATTCACGTAGTTTGAAGTCGCTGTGGAGGACAGGATGCTAAAAGGCAGAAGAAAAGGGGTTTAAAAGGCAAACTTGAGGGGTTCTTTTATCTCCTGCAGGCATCCTCTTCCCTGAGGATCCCCCAGCCAGCCCCAGGGTGCTTCCTCATGAGCAGGATAATCCTGCCCATCCATTCCCATAATTTCCATTTGCTTTGAAATGCTTAAAAATATAGAGATGCTCTTTTGTAATGAGGTCTATGTCTGTGGCTTGGGCAGGGGAAAGAAACCTTAAATGTCAGGAATCCCTCATTCGAGGCAGGATTTACTGCGCATTGTCAGCAAGTCCCTGCATGCAGAGATCTTTAACGCTGTTATTAAGCCCCAGGGGATTTTTGCTCCATGTTTATTAACCTGGAGACTCCGGTTTGGGGATTTCATAGAATCCCAGCCTGGTTTGGGTTGGAAGGGACCTTAAAGCTCCTCCAGTTCCAGGCCTCTGTCACGGGCAGGGACCCCTTCCACTGGAGCAGCTTGCTCCAAGCCCCTGTGTCCAACCTGGCCTTGAGCACTGCCAGGGATGGGGCAGCCACAGCTTCTCTGGGCACCCTGTGCCAGCGCCTCAGCACCCTCACAGGGAAGAGCTTCTGCCTAAGAGCTCAGCTCAGTCTCCCCTTGGGCAGGTTCAAGCCATTCCCCTTGGCCTGTCCCTACAGGCCCCTGTCCCAAGCCCCTCTCCAGCTTTCCTGGAGTTTGCATGCATGGGAGTGAATTTTCAGGGCAGCTCTGGGGTTTGTGGATGTTGGAATGCTGGGCGCTGTTTGCTGGGTACGTGCACATCTGAGAGAGGGGGCTGTGCTCTCCGTAGCTCTCCACACCATGTCCGCACTTGGCTCTGGGTGTATCCCACAGGAATGGCACCCAAACCAGACCAACACTTCAATTCCTACAACACAATCGGCCTGTGAGCTCCTGATGTGCTTTTCCCACATCCCAAACACGTGGACACCCTCCAATAGAGCCGGGCAGGTACACACAGACACACTCCCCTTGGCATGGTGGGAGATCAGGCTCCCACAGGCGGTCCTAGGGCATATCTGTGTCCATGGGTAGCAGTGGGCTGGTGTAAGGAGCATGTCCAGGGGAAGAAGGTTTGGGTGTCATGGGGGGTTTGGGTGTCAGTGTAGTGGGTGCTATAGGTGTCCATGTGGGTGTCCACTGGCGAAGGTGAGGGTGCCAGCAGGGTTGTGTGTGTGGGGAAGGTGGAATGAGGAAGGGACTGAGTGCCTGTGGTGGGAGGAGCAAGTGTCCATGGGGGTGTCTGTTTGGAGCGGGTGTTGGTGTCCATGGAGTAGAAGAATGGACATCCATGGAGGAGTTGGGATGTCCCGGGGGGGGGGGTGTCCAGTGGTGAAGAAAGGGTGTTGATGATGGTGAAGGGATTGGATGGAATTGGATGCTGGTGCAGGGGTGTCGGTGATGGTGCAGGGATGTTGATGATGGTGAAGGGATTGCATGGAATTGGATGCTGGTGCAGGGGTGTCGGTGATGGTGCAGGGATGTTGATGATGGTGAAGGGATTGGATGCTGGTGCAGGGGTGTTGATGATGGTGAAGGGATTGGATGGAATTGGATGCTGGTGCAGGGGTGTCGGTGATGGTGCAGGGATGTTGATGATGGTGAAGGGATTGGATGCTGGTGCAGGGGTGCTGATGATGGTGAAGGGATTGGATGGAATTGGATGCTGGTGCAGGGGTGCTGGTGACGGTGAAGGGATTGGATGGAATTGGATGCTGGTGCAGGGGTGTCGGTGATGGTGCAGGGATGTTGATGATGGTGAAGGGATTGGATGCTGGTGCAGGGGTGTTGATGATGGTGAAGGGATTGGATGGAATTGGATGCTGGTGCAGGGGTGTCGGTGCGGTGAACAAAGGGTGCCGGTGGAGGTGCCGGTGCGGGCCGGGGGCTGGGGGCCGGCCCCCCGTTGCCGCTTTGCATAGGAGCGCGGCTCATCCCAGCCCACCGCGCCCTCCATATAACCCAGCGGGGCGGGCGGCCGCCACCCCGGCCCGGCCATGCTGCGCAGCCCTCCTCGCCCGCGGCCCGCCCCGGCGCCCCACAAGACTCCGTTCCACATCGAAGCGCTGCTCGCCCGGGACCCTCCGCGCCGCGGCCCCGCCGCCTTCACCTCCGTTCCCCCGGCTCCGGTGGCCCCGCACTGGCCCGCGGCGGGCCCCGCGCTGGGGCTGGGACCGGGACCGGGACCGGGATCGGAGCCGGGACCCGGCGGTTGGGGCTGGGGCTGGGGCTGCGCGGCCATGCGGGGCGGTGCAGGTGAGCAGAGGGATGCGGGGGTACCGGGGGGATGCGTGGTCGGCGGGCGGCTGTGGGGACAGCGGGGTTGCGGGCACCACCCCCGGGCAATAACGGGGTTCGGGGCACCCGAAATGGGTTGTTGCTCCTTCCCCGACGGCTGTAGCTGCTGTTCTTTCGAGCAGCCGCGGGGCGAAGGGATGGGAGATGTGGAGGGAGAGGGAAGAGTTTCCTAATGCCTTTCTGATTCCCCTCTCTATTAATCGATAATTAATGTTAACCATTAACGCCCAATATCAAATGCGTGGGTGAAGCGAGACCCCAATGGCGGGATTTACATCCCTCAGGCCCGACTTCAGCCGAAGGTTTTGGGTCGGGTACAAGGGGTGGTCCACGCGCATCCATTCCCACCTGCGTTTTAAGGGTGGCTTTGCATTGTTTTCTCCTCTAATGCATTAGAAAGGTAGCACAATGTCTGTGTTCTTACCGTGCCTGCGGGAAACTGCTGTAATTTCCCAAAGCCTCATCCTTTAAAATCCCTTTTCCACCCCACCAGAACCCCTCTGCTGTTGTGCGGGGTCCCCTCTTCCTCCAAACCTGCACTCTGCTCTCCTTACAAGGTATCACTCACAGAAGTGAAGCTACCGAGTGCTTCACAGCACCCAGCCCTAAACCTGTGTTTTCAGTGGGAAAACACCTAAGGAAGAAGGTTTTGTCGTGGATATGTGGGTTAAACACACACAGGGGTGATGGATGGTACTGCTGGTGCATCAGGCTCTGTGTGTCCACTAAGGGTCACTGTAACTTCTTATAAGTGCAAGAAACTCATTTCTTTTCATGAACTACCTCTCTTCAGAGTCTTTTCCATGAAATTAAGCATCTTTTTAGCATGCAGAGCCTGATAACATTGCTCAGCCCAGCACATATTTGACTTGTACAAGAAGCTTTTGATTTAATCCCAACAGCTACAACATCCAACACCAAAAGTGTTTGCTACTCTTAATCTTTTTAACCACTCTTACTTCATTTAGGAGGCACCATTTCCATAGCTGTGTGTTAATCTATGTTTTCTATCAAACGCATGTATGAAAATACAGTTAAACAATTGGCAAAGCTGTTTCCAGGGTGTATTTCGCGTTTGAAATTACACCCGCTATTATCCCCGTGTTAAAATAGAAAATAGATGTGACGGGTGGAATGATTTTAATGAGGAAAGTGGTTGTCTGTGCAATTACAGCTGTTAAACTGTCAGGTCTCCATCCCACAAAGCCTTAAACACACGCAGAACTGGCACCCAGGTAATGAAATGAAATAGATCCAGGTGCCAACATCAGTCATTAAAGGAGAGGGGAGTCCTTATGAGCAGTATGGCCATAGAAGCCAAAGGAGCACAGCAGACAGATCACACCAGGCAATGGTTCTGGCTGAGGGGGACCTTTGTGGGCTGTTGATCCAACCTCTGCTCAAAGCAGAGCTGCTCTCAAAGCCACATCACAGTGCCCAAGGGCTGAGATGGGCAAAGAGCACCAGGGGAGCATTAATGGCCTGATCCTGTACATGCAGGAGGGGCATGTACATCCAGCTCGAACCCCTTCCACTGGAGCAGCTTGCTCCAAGCCCCTGTGTCCAACCTGGCCTTGAGCACTGCCAGGGATGGGGCAGCCACAGCTTCTCTGGGCACCCTGTGCCAGCGCCTCAGCACCCTCACAGGGAAGAGCTTCTGCCTAAGAGCTCAGCTCAGTCTCCCCTCGGGCAGGTTCAAGCCATTCCCCTTGGCCTGTCCCTACAGGCCCTTGTCCCAAGCCCCTCTCCAGCTTTCCTGCAGCCCCTTTAGGCACTGGAGCTGCTCTAAGGTCTCCCCTTCAGGAGCCTTCTCTTCTCCAGCTGCCCCAGCCCAGCTCTCTCAGCCTGGACTTTAGCCCTCTGGTCTCTGTAGGTTGAACAATACGTGTGCAGAGGCATTAGCAGGACTAACAAGTGGATCAGGTCTCAGTCTCCTATCTAGCTGTGGCCTGATGATGACCACAGTTAATTAACACACAATACCCCACCAGCACTGTCACAGGACCAGCTGGCACCAGCCTAAGAGCAGGGATGCCTCATAAAGCCTCATCCTGCCAGCACAGCCTTTGATTCACACACATCTCAATGTACAAAAGGCAATCTGTGATTAGGAGCTTCTTGAGCCAGAGAGATGGGATTTTTGTGCTCAGCAGCTCTCAATGGGCCTTATTTTCTGTTACAAATACACAGATGGAGATCAAACCTTGCTCACCCCATTCAGCACTGACTTATTTGGGTCTGGCTGCATGTCCAGACCTGTCTTAGGTAGCTTCTGTGGGTGGAATCATAGAACAGGTTGGAAGCCACCTCAAAAGAACATCTGAGCACCGGAAAGGGAGACTAGATGAGATGATCTCGGTAGGGACAAAGTAGGGCCATCCCTGCTATTCAGTTTTGGTGCTTTTTCCCCCCACTCTTCTTTAGCTATAGCTGAAGCAGGCTGGAGGAATGGCCTCGAACACGCACAGCCATTCGTTTACTGCTTCTTTCCTGCAGGTCTGGAGCTGTCTCACTGTGTAGGAGCCAACTCACTGGGTCCTACTGTGCCCTGGAGGTCTGGGGGGCCCTGCAAGATGAAGAGGGTGCGCACTGTCTTCAAGCCTGAGCAGCTGGAGCGGCTGGAGCAGGAGTTCCTCAAGCAGCAGTACATGGTGGGCACGGAGCGGGTGGACCTGGCTGCAACTCTGCACCTCACAGAGACCCAGGTAAGGGATGGGGGAGATGGGGATGGAGGCACAGATCCTGCTCTGGGTCTGGTCTGTGGTGATGTCCCTGCTGTGAAGGGCACTGCGGGGAGGATGTGATGCAAAGTGGATCCTTGCTGCAAGATGACTTTGAAGCCACACGTGCCTGGAGGGATGCGAGATGGGTTTAGATGGTTTATGGATAACAGCATCCTTTTCTTAATCCATGAAGTGGAACAAAAAGCATTTAGGAGGACAAATGTTGCCTGCTTTACAGTTCAGGCTGAGCTGACCTAATGTATCTGCTGTTAACGCTCCTCTGGAGACAGTTTATGCTTTAAGTGTTCTTCTATGACACCAGATCCCAATTTTTTCCTGCTCTTCCCAGTAAGTTTCTGTTGCTTCCACTGGTTATTTATTGTGGAAGGGAGGAGCGACACGATCTTCTGTGGTGGGATCTAAATTCACCTGGGGAGAAGGGAGAGCAAAGGGTGGTTCTGGAGGGGACATGGAGGGTAGGAGCGGGAAGAGGGGGAGATGGGTGTCTCATTGTGTCCTCTGACAACCTGTGTATGGGTTTGGTGGCTCCAGGGAGCCTGGGGAGGTGATTCCTCATCCCCTGGCCAGAACCTCCTCTGTGCATCCTCCTCTCCCCATGTTCTTTCTCCCAGCATCACTCTGCCCTCCATAGCATCACCTCCTGCTTGCAAGCACTGTGTCCTGAGCAGAGAAGGGGCATGTCCCCCTCTTTGAGGAACTTTTTGGGGACACCTGCCTTGGAAGCATGAGGAAAGGGCTCCTGGAGGCCTTGGATTAAGCTGTTGTGCCGTTTTCCTGCTAGGTGAAAGTGTGGTTCCAGAACCGGAGGATCAAGTGGAGGAAGCAGAGCATGGAGCAGAAGGCAGCAAAGCTGTCGCAGTTTGGGGTGATACAGCCTGCCACTGCAGACTCCACCGACATCAAGGACCGCGAGGAGGGCACCGTGGACGTTGAGCTTTGAACAGCTCCTGAGACTCAGCTGCCACTGGTGGTTTCTGAGCCGTGTCTGCTTGAAGGAGATACCGGGGATGCAGGAACATCTTTGCTCCAAGTGAGGCACGCTCCAGATCCAAAAGCTATAGGACTAAAGTGCAGCTGGCTGGGAGGAGTCCCATGAATGCTGTTGGGCTGCTGTTTGCTGGCACTCCATCACCAGGCTGGTTGTACTGGAAGGTGCCATAGCTATGGCATGGTACATAGCATGTGATCTGTTTGCTCTTGAAAGACCATGAACAGTTTCCAGCAGAGAAGCTGGGGTGGGTGACAATCATACGATGTCTTTGGCTGTGAGCATAAGGGCGTTTAAACGTGGGCTCACTTGTGTTTGTGGTTGTGTGCTCCTAGGAGGGAGATCTGTGATTTTCCTTGGAGGAGAATCAACCCTGATTGGCTTTTTCTGGTTAACTCTCATATTTGATGCTTTGATCACTACAAAACCCCCTATGACAATTGGAAAGCCCTTTGCTCCCACCCACAGGTTACTGTTGCTACAAGATGCACAGGGTCTGATCCTGCCCCTGGAACAGAAGTGCCTCCTCTTGTCCTGTGCCTTGCTTTGTTGCCTTTTTGACTTCCCAAACCTAGAGGGCAGATCCCAGGGGGGTTTCTCTGCCTTGTGGCATTGCCTTACTTCACCCAGGTTGTGCCTGCTGCTGCGGCAGGGAGTGAAGCACTGGGGCTGGCCGAGGTGCAGGGATCTGTTCTACAAAGGCAGCTCTCCAACACCTCTGGTGCTTCAGAGGACCCCCTGCCCCTCGTCCAGATGTGCTGATTCTGGCCCTGTTGCTGTGTTCTCTCCTCATTATATACCCAGGTGCCATAGGAAACAGCTGGAGCGTTCAGGGAGCACATCTGGAATCCCCAATGCAGTCACAGTTGTGGTTCTGGTGGATGGGAGGCTTTGGGGGTCAGGACTAAGTACTTGACCCTCCCTGTCTGTGTGTTAGGCTGTCAGGGCTCAGGCTCTCACTTTGCCTTTCCAGCTCTGTCCTAAGGTACCAGGCACCACGCACCGTCAGCTCAGGATAACTCATTCCCTCTCTTTCTGATCGGGAACACTGTACATCACTTTACTCTCCTGTTATTTATAGAAATAACGTTTTTTTCCCTTTGTTAAGTGTTATTTATTTGCTTTACTTCTTAATAAAAATCTAGTGTATTTAAAAAAGAGATGGGGCTGTGCGAAGGGGAGGAGATTTGGGCAGCTCTGTGGTTTCTCAGCAAGCAGTGATACCTCAGTGTCTCTTTGCCAGGGGGGTGTTATCCAGCCTTTCTGCTGTGTCCAGAATTAGAATCATAGAACAGTTAGGGTTGGAAAGGACCTTAAGATCATCCAGTTCCAACCCCCCTGCCATGGGCAGGGACACCTCACACTAAACCATGGCACCCAAGGCCTCGTCCAACCTGGCCTTGAACACTGCCAGGGATGGAGCATTCACAACCTCCCTGAGCAACCCATTCCAGTGCCTCACCACCCTCACAGGAAAGAATTCCTTCCTTATATCCAATCTAAACTTCCCCTGTTTCAGTTTTAACCCATTACCCCTTGTCCTATCACTACAGTCCCTAATGAAGAGTCCATCCCCAGCATCCCTATAGGCCCCCTTCAGGTACTGGAAGCTGCTCTGAGGTCTCCATCAGCTTCTCTTCTCCAGGCTGAACAGCCCCAGTGTTCTCAGCCTGTCTCCATACAGGAGGTGCTCCAGCCCCTGATCATCCTCGTGGCCTCCTCTGGACTTGTTCCAACAGATCCATGTCCTTTTTATGTTGAGGACACCAGAACTGCACACAATGCTCCAGGTGGGGTCTCACCAGAGCAGAATAAAGGGGCAGGATCACCTCCTTCACCCTGCTGGTCACGCTCCTTTGGATGCAGCCCAGGATACGGTTGCTTTCTGGGCTGCAAGCACACACTGCAGCCGGCTCATGCTCATTTTCTCATTATCTGTGTTTCTGAGGAAATTGAATTAAAAATAACAGAAATTTAAAGAAATGCACCTTTTCCTCCCACTAAAAGACTCGTTGTCAAAAAGTAGCATCCGCGCTCCACCAGAGCTCACAAAGGGGTGATTTTTCCTCAAAAGGGTCATTTCATCACACACGATTCCATTCCTGACATGCCAATAAGAATATGAAAGCAGTGTGGGTTATTCCCCCCCCCTTGTGTGTTTGCTGATGAACCTGTGCACTCATTTCAGGCTTGAAGCGTTTGTAATGGGGCAATGAAAGCTTTGAAAGGCATCAGCTGAAAACCTGGGAATGTCAAAAAGAACCAGGAGGAAACCACATTTTCAACTGTTCCCTTTTTCAATTGAAATTATTAATAAACCCCCTCCAATACACAATGTAATGACAGCCTCCTCAAAAGTTAGAGGGATTTTTTTAATCTTAATGACCTGTTCTGGACAAAATATATGTTAAAAATGTGTGTGTGGAAATTGATAGACTGATTGATGACCCCATATCATGGGTGAGAGTAGATAACAGGAGTTACCTCTAGTTATCTCCAGGCCAGTTCCTGCAGTGATGAACCTCCATTTACAGTAGGAAACACCATCTCCTGTTAGCACGGTGTGCTGGGGATGCTGCCCCTGGAGAACACAGCCCTTGGTCTGCAGGTGGATGTGGCCAAAGCTGTGAAGCCCCTGGGCTGATGCTTCAGTGAGCTCAAGCCCAGGTTAATGTCCCCCCTGTGCTCTGCAGACAGCAGCAACAGAAGGAATCCTGGTCCAGCTGCACAAACCGCTCCACATTCATGCTGTAAGCACAGGCCTGGGTCAGAAGATGCCTTCGAAGCGCTGCTGGCTGGGCAGTGATTCAGGGTGATGGGATGCTCTGTGTGTGAAACACACTGCCAAATAGCATGGAAACCTTGGATGGGACATGGAATGCTGTTATTACAATAATGGTTAGGATTCCTACTGTTGGTATCATAGCATCCCGGAGTGGTTTGGGTTGAAGGGACCTTAAAGCTCCTCCAGCTCCAACCCCTGCCATGGGCTGGGACCCCTTCCACTGGAGCAGCTTGCTCCAAGCCCCTGTGTCCAACCTGGCCTTGAGCACTGCCAGGGATGGGGCAGCCACAGCTTCTCTGGGCACCCTGTGCCAGCGCCTCAGCACCCTCACAGGGAAGAGCTTCTGCCTAAGAGCTCAGCTCAGTCTCCCCTCGGGCAGGTTCAAGCCATTCCCCTTGGCCTGTCCCTACAGGCCCTTGTCCCAAGCCCCTCTCCAGCTTTCCTGCAGCCCCTTTAGGCACTGGAGCTGCTCTAAGGTCTCCCCTTCAGGAGCCTTCTCTTCTCCAGGCTGCCCCAGCCCAGCTCTCTCAGCCTGGCTCCAGAGCAGAGCTGCTCCAGCCCTCGCAGCATCTCCATGGCCTCCTCTGGCCTCGCTCCAACAGCTCCACGTCCCTCTTGTGCTGCTGCCCCGAGCAGGACGCAGCTCCGAGGATGTGACAGCATTCCTACGGTACCATTGCTCCACCGCTGCCTAGGTCCTCATTTACCCCCTTTGCCCGCTGCAGCAGGGCTCTGCACACCCGCTGCTGGGCTCGCTGGGACCAGACCCCAAAATGAAGGTGTCCGGGGGGGGCTTTGTCTGTCCCTTGACACCGGGGCCATGCCCCGCTCTGGGGCTGCTCCCTCAGGTGCTGCCGGCCCGGCCATGCCGGTTGCGGTGTTAACCCGGCGGCAGGTCCCCACCACGAGCCGCCAGTGACACCTAGCGACTCCATAGCCCCAACGCTGCTGCCTCATGGACAGCATAGCCCCTGCCTCATGGACTGAGGCTGCACGGGCGTTTGGGTTAATAAATACAGCTAAACCCGCCCTGAGGCGTTTGGCGGCTGCCCAGCAGGAGGGAGCCAGCGTGGAGGAGCCACATTAATGCGTTTTTAAGGTTTTATTGGGGAGAGTCGGGGCAGTTTTGGGTGCGCTGGGGGTGCTGGCGTTGAGTCCTCACTGTGAGAGGGGGTCCCTGGCGCGCCCGCCTGACGGGGATATAAAGGCTATTCCTCGCACGCCTGTACTGTTAGAATAACTCATAGTTAATAGGGAAGAGGCAGCAAAACTCCTCTTCGATTTTCGGGAGGCTTTGGAAGCGCCGCAGCCCCGTTTCGGGGCTTTTTAGCGCTGTTTTCGGACGGCGGCGGTGGGCTGAGGGGAGGGCTAAGATGGCGGCCAGCCCCCCAAAGCCCCGGGGGTGAGGCGGGTGAAGGCAGGCGCGGAGCCCTGAGGGGGACCGGCAGCCATCTTCGTGTGGGGTGAGGGGGACGGAGGAAGGAGGAGGAAGAAGAGGAGGAGGAGGAAAAGGAAGAGGCGCTGCCCGCCCCGGCGGGTCAGAGCGGGGAAGTCGCCGCCCGAAGATGGCCGCCGCGGCGGGGGACGTGTGCGGCGCAGTGCCGGGGAGCCGCGGCGGGGCCGGGGCTGCGGCTGCGGCGGAGGCGCGGTTCATCAGCAGCGCCAAGGTGAGCCCGGCGGTGCCCTCGGTGCGGGCTCCTTCCCTTCCCTCAGCCTGCGGCAAGGGGCAGTTATAGGGAGGGAAAGGGGCGGAAAACGGCGGCAGCCTCCCCTCAGGCTGGGCCGGGGATGGGCTTCGGCTTTGAGCGCATCCCCTTGAGCCGCGCGTCTCCTTCGGCAGGGGAAAGGCTTGTTCGCCACCAAGAACATCCGCAAAGGGGAAACCGTCTTCGTGGAGAAACCGGTGGTGTCGTCCCAGTTCCTCTGGAACGCGCTGTACAACTATCGAGGTGAGCGGCTGGTGGTGCCATGGCCCTGGAGGGGACTGCAGCGTCCCGGAGGGGCTGCGTGGTACCCAGGGAGAGGGTTTGGGTTTGGCTTAGCATCCCTTACGGAGGTGGCCCTGCTGCCATGCCTGCCTCTGTGCTAAACGAGCTGTTGAAAAGGTTGGATGGGGCTTGGAGCAAGCTGCTCGAGTGGAAGGTGTCCCTGCCCGTGGCAAGGGTTGGAGCTGGAGGAGCTTTCAGGTCCCTTCATCACAAACCCCTCTGGGATTCTGTGATGCTATGGGGTGGTTTGAGGGATGCTGGCACCCATCAGCCCTGGAGGGAAGCACTGTCTGCCGCCATTGGGGACCACTGATTCTGTAGTGGTGCTGTTGCTAATTCCAAATCACAGCACT